AGAAACCAAGAAAAGGATGAAAGGGAGAAAACAGAGAGTGGAAGGCGACTGAAGAAGACAGACGCTAGAGCTACACATTTTGCGCCATCTCAAGGTGAATGGACAGGGAAAAGGAAGCAGAAATGAAACAGATGGTGGGTGCTGCGTCTGGTGGCATCAAGAGCTTTGTGCCTTTGTGCCGACTGACCACGGAGCTGTCTACAGATCAAATGCTCAATGCAAAATTTGGGGGGGCTGGGGGTGTGCGAGGAGGTGGGAGTGCTCTGGAGAAAATGCAAACCGCTCAGGACTACAGAGGTCCTTCCTTGAGTTCAGAATTGCCTAGAGCTCAGGAGTAATAGTGGGGTGCTATAGGCATTTTCGAGAGAGGGACCGAAGTCCACTTGGGGGCACTGAATATGGAAGAGGATAAGAGACACAGCTTCCAGAAAGATACGGGACAGAAGAGGGAGGTTGGAGGGGGTGGGAGATAGTGAACACAGTGCCAGACAGCCAGAAGCTCCACCCATTAAAAGTTTATATACCGGCCCCCTTAGGAAGCTCCTTAATGAGGCCCAGGGACCCCCAGAGAGGAGAACTAGTACGGACTCCCTAGTATCAACAGAGCTGCCAATTTAGTGACACTTCTAAGGACAGCAAAAACCTCAGCCAGCTTATGAGCACGGGGTGAAAGTTTGGGGGGGTCTAAGTGGCAAGGGCCCCCACCCCTATCAAAAGCCCAAAAGATATTTAGAGCAAACTTGCTAAGTAAACGGACACCACCACCTCCTTATCCTCCTCTCCCCTATTCCAGCCCCCCCCAACCTTTTTGTAAACTTCAGCTAAACACCCAAAGGGTTGGTGTGTGCCCTCCATGACGTGATCCTGACCCAGGCTTCCCCAGCTAACGTTGTTCTTTATGGCTTCTTAGTACGTTGTGGCCTGAGCTGCAGCGAGCTGAAGTGTTTGCTTCTTAGGGTCCCATAGAAACTTTATTCTGTCCTCTCCCTGCCTTTAACACAAGCCTATACCCCCCACCCCCACCCCCCCACACAGAGAGCTTTAAAATCTCGAGGCACTGTTGACCTGCAGAAGTGAATTGGTTTGAATTTCTAATACTCTGGGCCTAGTATCAAGGTAGTCTTGAAAGATAATAAATAAATTGGAGGGGGAACATCCTGTGTGTTAGGCCTGACCCCAGTGGACCCCGTTCTCTCATCCTAAAGCACTGACGTATCAGACCATCGAGAGCAAACACAGTCAACGATTCCCCTTTGGCCTCTGTTGAGCCTGAAAGGAATCAAGATTTCAGGCGAAGGAACTGCGCAGGGCAATTTCCAGGAGAGATCTTAAAAGCAAGCGGAGAGGCGCACCAGCCCCGTGGGTTCCCCGGGCCCAGGCCTGGCTCAAGTCCTCAGGACAGGCTGGCCAATGTTTAACCCGAAAGCAGTGGCCACCAGGCCCCTTTTGTTTGTTGGCAAATTAATCACCCAGCGCACGGTCGGCGCCAGAGCTGGTTTAGCACCCACCGGGAGGGGGCTGCGGCGGCCACGCAGAGACAGAGAGGACTTCGCACCTTCCTCCTTTTGATCCCAGATTACAGAGGCCTCCCTCCCTACACAATACGAGCCTCCCCGGGCCGCCGCGTCTGGGAGGTCAGTCATAATTGGCGGAAGTTTGCAGACCATTATTAGCAAGATGTCGACGTTTTTAGTCGGAGCAGAGAACCCCTCAAACTTTCCTCTTCCCTCATCCCTTGCGCCTCGAATGTAAGGTGAGGGAGGGGAGGCGTGGGGGTGGGGGGAGGCGAGCTGAAATGTCCTCTGGATTAACAGAGCGCTACAAGCAAAAATAGGCAATTGTGGGAAGGGGAATTGAGCCCAGCAGACACTAGGGTGGGTCTGGCAGAGCCCAGGGCGCAGGGTGATATTTACAAGTGAAATCAACAAACTTCCCTAGGATTTCGAGAGCCAAGTCGAGCAGAGTCCGTGAGCTCTGGGCCAGGGTGATTGATAGCTACTCGCTCTCCCAAACTCCCGGGCACTGGAGGCCGAGTGGGTGCCCGAATTCTTTTCCTTGCACCCCAAGAGGCCGGGCCAGCGCCTTGCCAGGGAGGCCAAGCCAGAAGGCCTGCCATCCCGTCCACTCCACAAGGCCCAGGCTTCCAAGTATTGTTGCGGGGAAAGAGGGGCTTTCTGTCACCAGCCTTTCAAGAAAACTTTCCAGTATGACCCCAAAGCACGAGACGCGGGAGGGGACGTTTGTGAGTTGTTTCCACCAATACCACCCCTCCATGTCCTTGGCCACCTCTTTTTCCTTCTCAAAGCAAGGCCAGAGAGAGACCGAAAGGAAGAGAGAAAGGGCAAGAGATGGCGAGAGACAGACAGGAGTTCGCAAACCACTCTATCCTCTCTGGTGACTTCAGGGAATTCTCGGCGCTGGCGCCAAGCGCTCTTAAACATGTGCGTCAAAAAAATGGGAGGCTGGAAAGGCTCCTGGCCTCGCCAGTTCCGCCCCTGTGTCGGCTTGGTGAGCCCACAGTGGATTTGTGGAATTGTATTTCACCCGCCACTTGCCCCCACTCTGGAGTCCAGGGTCTGCGGATACAAACGGAAGAAGCATCAGCCTTGTACTTGCGTATACACTGACTCATACGCATCATTATCTTTGGGATCCTTAGCTGCTCCCCCCCCCCCAGGCCTCAAATCAACTCTTTCTCCCCCCAAACCAAGGCATTCTCAGTTTAGGAACGGGAAGATATTAGCTTCCAGAATCGCTTCCATCTCAAAAATAGGGCAGCCCAACTCACTGACCACCCCCCCAACCCCCAGCGGAGCTTGGAGGACAGTCGTGACGCGGGTCGGGGAAGCTGCGATAACAGAGTGACTAAGTGGGCGACAGATCTGATCAATAAGATCAGTTCCCGCCCTTCCCCTCCGCCCTCGCGACAGCCCCAACCCTACCTGATTTGGAATAGTCACCTCGCCCCTGGGCAGGGGGCGTTTCACGGTTTGTTTTACAAATTCGCCCCCGACTTGTTTCTAGATAAGTGTCCCCAGTGAAGACAGAACTGAGGCTCCGAGAGATAAGCGCGATGCCTGGAGAAGATAGGAGGTGGCCGGCCGACTCCCTTCCCCCTGCCAGCTCGCCCTCTTCTGACCGGCAGCCCCGCGCAGATACCAGGCGGGGGCAGGTCAAATCCCGTGCCTCGCTGTGTTCATTTTGGCAAGATTGTCTTTACCGCCCCCACCCCCCCACACACACAACTCTTCCTCACCGCTAACACATCCAGGCAGAATACAGGGAGCCCGCGTCCAAACCAGCCTAAAAGGCTGCTAAACGCATCTCGCAAACCCCCAAGTGCACCTCCCCGAGTGAGCATATAAGGCCGGCCGGGCAGGCTGTGTACGTGTTGGCGTGTACGTGTTTTTCGGCGTGTGGCTCGGTCCCCGTGTGCTGGCGCGTGTTCACGTACAGATGCGCTGGGGTCTCCACGCTGGGCGGCGGGTGGGGCAGGGTGGAGAGGGAGCCCCCCACGCCTGTGCCCAGATCCGGCTGCATTCGGATGTCCACGAGCGCAGGGCAGACCGGTAATCGCGGAAGCCCGGAGCTCTGCAGCCCCTGAGCAGCGGCCGGGCGGAGCTTGGCTCCACGTGGGGCTGCAGAGAGCGCAAGCCCGGTATCTTGGCGCTCGCCTCTTACGCCGCCGCTGGCTATTGTTGCCCTGAGCCGCGGCATGGCAGTTCGCAGGAAGCTCCGCCGCCCGCCTGGCTCGGCCCGAGCCGGGAGAAGAGGGAGCGCGGCGGAGAGGAGCAGGGAGACGAGCCGAGCGCGCTGGAAACGAGCGCCCCTGCCCGGCGCCGGGGCGCGCTCTCCGCCCAGCTCGCGCCGCCGACTGGCTGGCTCGCTCCCTTCTCCTCCTCCTCGGCCCTGCCTCCACCCCCGATCCCCGGCGAGATGACTGAGGCATTTCAAACGTGGGCCGGGCGAGAGCGAGCGGGGCGAGCTCAGGGGCTGTGGCGATCTCTCCCTAAGCCACCTAGAGGCGACTCTGTGCGCGCGCGCTCCCCAGTGGCTCCCCGCCCTCCCTCTGATCATGTTGACATATTCACAGGACAGGCAGTAGTACCGATGCGGCGCAGCGACGTTACAGTTTCCGACACCTTCTTTTTATAACTCGGCTCTATCCCCCAGCACTCGACCTGTGAAAACCACGCCTATGCAGCCACACAATTGGTCCGAAAGCGTCAAAGAGCCAATCAAGAGGCCTCCGGCTCCCCGCAGCCCACAGCAGAGCCCGACCTTCTAGAGCCGCCGAGCAGACGCCCGGGGAATTCTATAGGCGAGGAGGGTGGAGAGAGGCGCTCACTCCTCGCTGGCTCTCGCGCCCTCCCTCGCGCCCTCCCTCTGCTCACGCTCTCTTTTCCTCTCCTTCTCTCGCTGCCTCCTTCTTCCTTGCCATTTCGCCCCCCTGGATCCACCCTGCCCCTCCGCGCCTGGACGCAGACTTAGGAAGTGAAGTCGCTCACGTTTTAGGACGAGGAAGAAGGGAGCAGAGCGCGGCCAGATTCAGATTGCAAGCGAGACGCCCTCCGGAGCTCCGGGCCGCGGAAGGAGGAGTGAGCGGAAGCCGTAGTGCCCTTCAAGTTTTGATAGCGCTGGAAGAAAGGGTTTAAATCAGATTTTTTTTTCCTCCCTCTTCTAAAGAGAGACTTCCCCCCCCTTCCCCCTCGCTCTCACTGGAGTGAAGCCTGGGCTCCCGCGCAAGGCGGACGCCTCCAGCGAGACACCCGGGGAGAGGGCGAGAGGTAGGGCGCGCGGAACAGAAGAGAAGGTGAAAAGTCTAAGAGATTCGCTCGCATTTTGCAACAAAGAAAGCAAGCGCTGGGCAGACATTCCCGGGACCAAAGGACTGGCTTGTCTGTTTCCAGCTGAGCGGCCCGGCTCAGGCGCAGTGGAGACCCAGATCGCTCGACTTCCAGGAGCGGTTTTTTGAAATCGCCTGGCGCAAAGACGGTCCCCCGGGGCAACGATGTCTCCTGTTTTCTCGTCTCTTTAAAAGCAGCAGTTTTTTCTCCCTAAAGACACTCTCCCTCGCCTCCCTTAGAGGTCCTACAGCTGCAATTTGCCGCCGTTTTGGTTTTGTTTTGACTTTTTACGTTATTTTTTTTTTTTAAACTATGTGCTGCTTTTAAGGAAGGGAAGGGGAAGCAAAACAAAACAGCAGCTGCGGACTCGTCCCCGGCTGGAGCCCAGCGCCCCGCCTGGAGTGGATGAGCCTCTCCATGAGAGAGCCGGTCATTCCTGGGACGAGCATGGCTTACCATCCGTTCCTACCTCACCGGGCGCCGGACTTCGCCATGAGCGCGGTGCTGGGCCACCAGCCGCCCTTCTTCCCCGCGCTGACTCTGCCTCCCAACGGCGCCGCGGCGCTCTCGCTGCCCGGCGCCCTGGCCAAGCCGATCATGGATCAATTGGTGGGGGCAGCGGAGACCGGCATCCCTTTCTCCTCCCTGGGGCCACAGACGCATCTGAGGCCTCTGAAGACCCTGGAGCCCGAGGAGGAGGTGGAGGACGACCCCAAGGTGCACCTCGAAGCTAAAGAACTCTGGGATCAGTTTCACAAGCGGGGTACCGAGATGGTGATTACTAAATCGGGAAGGTAAGCCGGCCACCTGGGGGGCCCCTCTCCAAAGCTCTTGGCGATTCTTCCTTTATTCCCCCCCCCCCTCCTCCTCAAACGGGGTTTGCCAGTTTCTGGGCTTGGATGAAAACTTTGTTTCCCTAAGACTGGGGGGGGGGGGCGGGCTGTCTCAGCAGTTGGAAATTTAAGTTTACCTGGGAGTCTAGGCCGCCCTTTCCCTCCCTACCCAGTCCTGCGCCCCGCAGGATGGAGAGAATGTTTCCAGAAGTTCACAGATTTTTTGTTTGCAAGCAACATGAAAAGCGTTCGCTTCAGGAAGTGCACAAACCTTCCTGGGACGATCTTCGTTTCTTTGTTGGGCTTGTGGTCTTGTATGTTTCACTCTCCCGCAGGGAGTAGAGCAAGGGAAATCTCAGAGCCCTTTCTTTGTGAGGTGGTAGGAAGCCTAGAGTTTTGCACCTTGATTTTTCTCGCCCTTGTGCCTGATTTCTTCTTCCTTGAGGAAGGCCTGTAGCAGAAAGGAAAGGAAAGGGCCTTCGAGTTTCTTAGCTCACCTCACTCCCCTTGTCTGCTAGTGGAGGGGACTCTTTCAGAGGGCAGTTTGAGGTAATTAACATTATGTTTGCAGATGTCAGGAGCCAGTGGGGAGAGCCACAGTGCTGTGGTTTATATTTTTTTTAAGGTGTGACTCTACCTACTCTTTAGAACTCCTTGCCTGCGTGAGACCAGCGTACAACAATGCTTTAAAAATATCTGATTCCCCCCTCTTTGGGTGGTAGTGGAATCCAGAAAGAAAAAAATAAAATAAAATCCTCTCAATGTCTTTCAGCTCTCAGCCTCCTTTGCCCACCAAAGGAGGCCAAAGTTGGGCATGAGAGTCTTCTCAAACCCAGAAGCTGTTTTGTCGGTTGGCCTTTTAAGTCAAGGGTAGGGCATTCCAACACTTGTTGGCAAAGCTGGCCAGTTTAGGGGCATGAGTTTGCGGTGTGAGGTTGGTCTGAGGAGTTAAGGCACGGGAGCTGGCTGCAGAGGGGTTGATGGGTCCAGAGGCCTCCCCTCTCTCGGCAAGATTATCTCTCTTTCTCGGGGAAGGGGAACTTTCATTTCGCCAGTCACCAGCGGGCCACTTCCACTGCGGGAGGTGTGCAGCTTGGTGTGGTGTGTGCCCTGGAGAAGTTGAGCATTTTCTCCTCCGAAGGGTGTAGGCAATTGTGGCCACTTTCCTGAACCTTCCTGCGGCTAGTTTAGATAGAACCAGACCCCTGAAGGAAAAGGAAAAGATGGGGGCAAGATGTTCTGTGCAAAGAAGCCCAGTCTGTTAAAGTAAATCAGAGAAAAGAATTTTTTAAAAAGAAAGAGAAACCCAAGGCCCTGATTGGCGAGTTTGGAATCTTGGGCCTTTTAAAACTAGAGAAGTGGAGCTTAATGCTTCAGGTGTTAAAGGGAGGAAGGCCTGGCCCCTTTACGAATATCAGTTCGCTCATTCAGCGTTACAGAAAGTTTTTCCAGTTGAGTTGCAATATTTTCAGATACAAATCTCGGATTTGGGGTGCTTTTTTTTTAAATTCTTTTTCCCCTCCCCCTTTTTCTCTCTCATCCTTCCTCGATTGTAGACGAATGTTTCCTCCGTTTAAAGTGAGATGTTCTGGGCTGGATAAAAAAGCGAAATATATCTTATTGATGGACATTATCGCCGCTGACGACTGTAGATACAAGTTTCACAATTCCCGGTGGATGGTGGCCGGGAAGGCGGACCCCGAAATGCCGAAGCGAATGTACATTCATCCCGACAGCCCAGCCACTGGAGAACAGTGGATGTCCAAAGTGGTCACTTTCCACAAACTGAAACTCACCAACAATATTTCGGACAAGCACGGATTTGTAAGTTGATAGTTCTCTCAGGCGGCATAATTACCTTTCCCTTCTAGCAGAGAGGCAGTGCGCCCTGATTCACTCCAAACCCAAGCGATTCTTCTCTTCCCTCTTCCTTGCCCTCTCTGTGACAAACATAGCAAAGCCTCTCTGTCTGCAACAGAGATGGACTCTGATAGAGAACTCTGCAGTATTCTCTTACGATCATACAAGGCCTGATACTCTTAAGAACCATAGAGGACAGGAAAACCTATGGGGCTCTTCCATTTCCAGAGCCATGCCTTGTCCTCGGCAAATTCTTGACCTGAAAGTGAACTTCAAGACAAATCATTCTGGGTCTCTCAAAATCAATCTCCTAATGCATTTCATAATGGACGTGTTTGATATTAAAATAGCATGCTTCTCTTTTTGAAAACGGCTATTTTTCTTCTCAGGAGAGTTTTCAAAAATTCTGAACCTTGATTATTTTTGATCAAGTGCTCTGAATGCTTTTTCCCCCCAAGTGGTGTTTTCTTGTATGAACACAAAAAAGAAAAGACATGGGCTTCTGTGGAAACTCAGCTTGGCTAGAAATGACTTCAGGTCTTCGCTTATCAAAGTTGCGCCCGCGTGTCTGTGTGTGTATTTAGAGTCAGTGCGTGGCTGGCTAGGAACTTGTGGAAAACTTACATGGCTTGGCTTGGAAAGTCAGCCCAGGGACCTTTTGCCCTTTCCCTTACCCCTCCCTAACATTTCAATAAAATAAACAAAGTGATAAGCAGTGGAATAAGCAGAAAGATTAGGCCCAGGAAGACCTGCATGTCACGGAAATATCTTCTGCGGGCAGGAATTACATTTGCAGCCTTGATTTGATTAAGGCATAAATATTCCTCTCTCTTGTTCAGCCTTTCAGGGACTTTAAGTGGATTGGGCTCGTCAATTAGAGAGCGCTTAAAGTACTGAATCATTTTTGCAAATTAAAATGCATGTTTTTCTCTATCTTTCAAGACTTTGGCCTACCCAAGTGATCATGCAACGTGGCTGGGGAATTGTAGTTTTGGTACCCAGGTAGGCTAGGGTTCAAGGTATGAAATGAACCTTAGATGGTGAGGGTGGTGGGGTGGGGGGGAATCCCTTTGGAACTAGAGGAGCAATTTGGACTCTCCAGAAGATAATCGTCTCAGAGCGATCCCAGCCTGGTACCCTGCGGTGGGGGAAGCTGTCAGCTTGGCAGGGGTCTTCAGATGCCTTTTGCTTTGCTAAATCCTCTTTTTTCTCTTGTGTCTCCCCTCTTCCTTTGCTCCTGCAGACTATATTGAACTCCATGCACAAATACCAACCCCGCTTCCACATTGTAAGAGCCAATGATATCTTGAAGCTTCCTTACAGCACATTTCGAACGTACTTGTTCCCTGAGACGGAATTTATTGCTGTGACTGCCTATCAGAATGATAAGGTAATGCTGGGGGATTTTTTTCTCTCTCCCCCACCCCCCCATTCCCTGTAGCTATTTCTCCTCTCCACCCAGCGCCTTTGAGGGAAGGATGAGAAGGTGACAGGAGTGTTTACACGTCTTGAAGTTTCATTTGTGACTTGACCTATACTGGGGGCTTTGGGGGAAAAGGGACGCTGACACCCTCCTGAGGCAGGGAACCAAAACAAAACAAACAAACCAAAAACCCCAATACCCCAAAACAAAACACCTCACAACACCCAGAACTGAGCCTCTGGACCAGGTAGTAATCCAACAGTGGGTTTTTAAAAAATCCCATATCCAAAGAAACAGTAATATGGCCAGTGAGAATTTCCTGTGTGGTCCTTGCAAACGGCCACCCCAAGCAAGGACTTCGTTCTGTTTGCTCTGAGGGTCCTCTCCGGAAAGTGTACTGTCCTGGCACCGGGGCTGGGTGCGAAATGAGCTGGCTGCAGACATAAAACACACCCCATTTGGGGATTCGTTCTGGGAGAACTGATCAACCACTAGTCGTCCCTGGCCAGAAATCCGGAGTAGCTGGTCTGGTTTTTATTACCTTTTATGCTGCTGTGTTTTTTATGATTTGTGTGTGTGTGTGTGTGTGTGTGTGTGTATGGTTGGAAAAACCTACTCTGATCACAGCGTCTTGCTAATCGAGTTGAGGTTTAAAAAAAATTTTTTTTAAGTGGAGCAGGGAAGATTTTTTTTTTTACCCTGAGGCGTCCCACATGGTTCGAAGCCAGTACCTGCAATCTGGGGTTAGAGGTCACGGGCAAGTAGTGCTGAGAAAGTGACCCTTTCTATAACAGATTGACTAGTTCCCCTCACAGTGTGGCAGTTAGAGAGGTGGGGGGGGCTTGACCAGGGACACCCCCCCCCTCAGCTCTTCAACCCCTGAACTTAGGACCCCAGTGAGAACCCAGTTTACCCCAACACCTTGCATTTCTCCTCACTGTCAGCACTGGTAGGCCCTCTCTGAATGGCACATGGAGGTGTCCTATATATGGGTTTCCTTAAGTCTAGCAACATAACACAATAAGACCACCATCTCTGCAGAAAGCAAGCCTGAACCCTTAGTATAAGAATTCAACCAAGAACGAAAGAAAACCCAGCCAAGGGGCCCTTTCTTCTACTTCGAGGGAACAGAACCCTGCTGGGTAGATCATTTCTCCCACCTACCCAGAAGGAAGGGATTTGAGGGGACACACTCTGGCTTCCCCTCCAATCCCATATGCAAAATGCATGCCTGCTCCCTCAAGACCCAGAATCCTGTGCGGCCAAGTTGTTAATGTAATAATAAAATGAAACAGTTTTTGATCGCACGGAGGCCACCGGTCTGTTCCACTTTGTGGCAGTGGCAGAACAGATGAACAAAAACCCAAAGATTCCCCCAGGCTATTCCGTCCTTTTAATCTGTGATTGTCCGTATTATAATGCCTCAGCCAGCCCCTCTTCCTCAAGTTTGCACGCGGGTGTGTGTATGTATGTGTGTGTGTGTGTGTGTATGTGTTTGAGCTTCTGCAGCACAGAGGTTGTGAACCTCCATAAATTGTTTTATTAGATTCATGGAAAAGTTTGATGTGTATACGTGAGTGTGTGTATGCCTGTGTGTGTGTTTGAGAGCAGGGAATAGGCCTCAGAGTATTTTATGATTAATTACACTGGATTAAAAAACTCAAAGAGAAAGTGTAATTTTAGAATCCGCAGGTGGTTTCTTCTGGCATCTGGTCCATGCCCAAACTAAATAGTTATCTCTTCTCCAAGGGAAGAGCAGAGCATTTCCAGGCTGCATCATTTCATCCTGAAATCGCTGTCTGGCCATATCTGGGAGATGCAAGCCCTTCTAGAATTTTCTTGGGTTCACACCCCCCCCCCCAGCTCCATGCACATTTACCCTCAACTCTCTGCACCTAGCATTCCTGTAGTCCATTTTCTAGTAGTCCATTTTCTAGAAGGGTCTTGGGTTTGGAGGAAATAACTCCAAAACATTCGAAAGGGAGAGGAAATGGAGCTTATTCTGTATGTCTTCCCATCTCTTCTAGATAACTCAGTTAAAAATAGACAACAATCCTTTTGCCAAAGGTTTCCGGGACACTGGGAATGGCAGAAGAGAGAAAAGGTGAGTTGAGGCAGCCATTTATTTCCCAGATAGTTTAAAAGAAAACACCTTTTTGGCAGGTGTAAAGCTTTAGATGTAAGTGAGAAGGGGGGGAAGGGGGGGCAAAGAAGAGGGGATCGAAGTTACTCCCTGGCAAGTGTTGATTCTGGCCCTTTTTCTTTTTTACCTTTTTCTACCTCTTAATTGTTACCTTTAAGGAAATTAACCATGACTAAACCACACCATCCTTCTTTCTGGAAGAAAAGTCTTAGGGGCAGGTTGGAGGGGGATAGCAGATTACATAGGGACGCTTATTAATTCCCAATTAATTTCAATTCATCCTGGGCGGGTCCCAGTCGAGGACTGAAGCCATTCACAGAATGCACTGGAATTTCTACAGTCTTGCCTTCCACAAGCCACCACACAGAGCCCAGGCCCCTTGAGATAGCTGTAGCCCCCTCCTTCATGTGCCTCAGAATCAGTTTGCATTAAGGAGGCAGCTGGATAATATGTGAACGCAGCTCTCCCCTCTCCTCACTCCCTTCGCAAGAATTTCTAAAATCACCCAAATTTTTCCAGCCACTTCCCTCGAGAGAACGGGGCGGGGGGGGGGTCTTGGTTTTACAAAGTCAGCTCTAAAACCGAGCTAGGTCCCCCCCCTTTTCTCTCCAATTAATGTGTTGGGGAAGCGATTACAGTAAAGCGCACCATGAAATAAACACTTCCCTTGTCATTTTTGCAGCCTTTCAGAAGTTGGGTAGCCTACAGACAGGCTGTGTTCACAGGATGAGGAACTTGTCTGTCCTCTTTGTAGGGAGCTGGCATTTCAGCTGTCTCTTGCCAGCTCAAACCTCCATTCTTGCTTCTAAAGGCCAAATCAGCCCAGCTAACATCTTTCCTCTGCCACCCCCTTTTGCCCACTCTAGGATCAGGGCCTGGCTTGAGGCGAGCTGATTTGGGAGAATAGATATTGTCAGTGGGTGGCGGGTCGGGTGAGTGGTGTCTGCGCCTCTTTGAAAACCAGGGTGGGAGACAAAGGGAAGAAGTGTGCGTGTTCTGTAACCTTGGGTGTGGGCTTCTGCCACAGAAAGCAGCTGACCCTTCAGTCCATGAGGGTGTTTGATGAGAGACACAAGAAGGAGAACGGGGCCTCAGATGACTCCTCCAGCGAGCAGGCCACCTTCAACTGCTTTGCCCAGTCCTCATCCCCTGCTGTGTCCACAGTGGGAACATCCAACCTCAAAGGTGAGCCAGGTCCCCAGAGAGATGTTGAAGGGGGATCACGGGTCACACCGTACACAGAGGAGCCCTACCAGTACTGGTTGTAGTGCACGTTCTTTAAGCAAGTCTGAGCAGTGAGCTCAGAACCTCTGTCCCCAAAAACTTCTTCTGGCAGGAGGAGAGGCAAGGGAACAGGTTTGAACTGTGTGTCTCTGTGTATATGTCCCATCAACCAGACACCCCCACCCCACCCCACTTTGGACTGTTTTAGAACTCCAGTTTAACATGGGATTCCCTACCACCTGGAACAGGAAAGGTGGCTGAGGAAGCATTGAGCTCTGATGTCCCAGTTGGCCAGTTGGGGGTGGGGAAGGGCGAGGTAGAGCCCTTCTGAGTTGGGGACTGGGAGGGATGAGCTGGTTCAAATTCCCAGTTTCTTGTGTTGAAAGAGCAAGCGCTATTTATTTGGAAAGATACACACTCACTGTCTCAATGAAAGGAGAAACCTGTTTTTAAGTGAAATGAAATGAAAGTCTTTTATATCCCCAATCCATTTAAGCTTTGAACATCAAATAGGATCCCTTTTTTTCTCTTCTGGCTGGTAGGACACCCACGAAGGGTGTGGTAACAGAAAAACATCTTTGGTTTTTCTGCTGTTGTGGAGAGAGGGCCCAAATACAGTGAGTAGGGCACACACCTAGAAGGTTCCATCGAGTCTGTAGGGAGGCATGCCCATTGCAGCAATTGTGAATTCAGATGTCTCAGTTCTAACTAAATAAGGCTTCTCAGAATACTTCATATATATATATATGGTGTGGACTCCAAATATGACTGGAGTGGGTGTGGAAGAGAATTCTAGTAATTTTTTTTTTAAAGTGGATTTGCTATCACTTGAAGCTTGTGTAAAAAACCCATTGTAAGAAAAAGCTACAGCTTTATGCACTTGGGGGTGGGATGGACTTGATGTAAATACTTTTAATACCTCCTTGGTGTAGTTGAATCCTCGGAATTTTGAATAATCAGAGTAAACTTTTTAAAGAATCAAAGTTAGATTCCATCCTTCCCATTTTGCAGATGAGAAAGCTGAGGTGCGGAGAGGTTCAGGGACTTGCAGAGAGTTAGGAGAGCTAGTACTTGGCGGAGCCTGAGCTGCCCACCCCGCTGACCTGCCTTCCTCCTTGTGTGGCAGATCTGTGTCCCAGCGAGGGCGAGAGCGACGCGGAGGCAGAAAGCAAAGAGGAGCCGGGGCCAGAGGCCTGCGACGCGGCCAGGATCTCCACCACCACGTCGGAGGAGCCTTGCCGCGACAAGGGCAGCCCGGGCTCCAAGACGCACCTCTTCGCGCCGGGGGACAGCGGCCGGCCCCGGGACAGCGGGCGGCTGGACAAGGCGTCGCCTGATTCGCGCCACAGCCCGGCCACCATCTCGTCCAGCACCCGCAGCCTGGGCGTGGAGGAGCGCAGGAGCCCTGGCCGCGAGGGCGCGCTGGCGGCCAAAGCCGAGGAGGCGCGCGCGCTGCCGGCCAAGGAGGCCTTTGCGCCGCTGTCGGTGCAAACCGAGGCGGCCGCGCACCTGGGCCAGGGCCCCCTGCCCGGCCTCGGCTTCGCCCCCAGCCTGGCTGGCCAGCAGTTCTTCAACGGCCACCCGCTCTTCCTGCATCCCAGCCAGTTCGCCATGGGAGGCGCTTTCTCCAGCATGGCAGCCGGCATGGGGCCCCTGCTGGCCACGGTGTCTGGGGCCTCCACCGGCGTCTCAGGCCTGGATTCCACTGCCATGGCTTCTGCTGCCGCAGCGGCGCAGGGACTGTCGGGGGCCTCGGCGGCCACCCTGCCCTTCCACCTCCAGCCACACGTCCTGGCTTCTCAGGTAGGCTCCTCACCCAGTCCTCTTGCCATGTGCTCATCTCCTAATAACATTCCTCATATCCCCTCTGCTTGCCCCTAAAAATGCTTTTATAGAAAAGGTCTTTTGCTAACTCAGAGGGCTGTTTTCAGCTGTGTAGGTAGTTAGAAGTCATGGCAACAGCTGTTCACAGACTTAAGTCTGCTAAGTCTTTGATCTCACCTGAGTCACCTCCTCCAGCCCCGGCAGAGCTGAGCTGGTGCTGGTGAGGCCTCCACGGGAGGGGAGGTAAAGGGACGGAGGCCCAGAGAAGTTGGGTAACTTGGCCAAGGTCACTCAGCTGTTAGGGGGTGGAGTAATCTGACACACCAGGCCTCATTCCAAGGTCCGGTTTGAACTTCTCAGCCCAAAGGTCTTTGTAAATGTCTCCTCAGCAGCTGTCCCTCTGGGAATTGGAGAAGGAGGGGAAGTGATTCTCCAGTGGGGTTGTCTTCCAGGTCTGGCCTCCTAGTTCACAGCCCTCTCTCTTCCCCCTCCCGGCTCCTCACAGGCCAGACCAATCCGGGAAGGGTTAAGGGTGTGTGCACATGTGGGCCATGTCAAAGCCGAGGGACAGGCTTGGGCTGCGGCAGGCAGCGCGGCCAAGCCTGGGACAGCTGTGCTGGAGAGCCGGGGTGGCTGAGGCTGGGGAGGCCGCCCGCTGCAGAGGCACTGAAGCCGGCAAGAGGTTCCAGCAGCTTCTGCACGCTCTGGCCTTTTGTTTTGTCTGAGCACATTCGGCTCCCCTCTCCCAGCCAAGAAGCAAGGCCCGCCTCCCTTCTGGGGGGGAGGGTGCAGAAGGAAAGGTTGGCGGCAGGCCTCTCTCAGTTCCACCCACCTCCTCTGCAGGCTGTCCCTAGAGTCTGTAGTAGGTGGGCAGGCGGGAGGTAGATCAGGAGCTGGCCAGCCCCAGTCCTCACGTTTGAAAAGCAACTGACTGATTTCTTGCACCCCTGGGGCCTGCCTCAGTTTCCCCACCTATAGCACCCAGCCTCCCTGGCAGAGTGATTTCTTTGTTCCTGTTTGTAACAGATGCATAAAGGCTCCCTTTCCCCTCCACTCCCCACCCCTCCATCTTTTGATCAAGAGCTCTGGTTGGTTTTGTTGTTTTTCCTCCATTTGAGAGACTTCTGGGATTGGGGGTGGGGGGGGGACAAGGATGAAAAAAAAAATCGCAATTTATTTGTGGCAAGTCATTTCTGTCCTCTGGTTTCCTCTCTGCCACTGCTGTGGAGACCAGATCTGTAGGCCCATGTTGCAGGTGCAGCAGTTTGCCCTTCTTGGAGAATTGTAACAGGCCCTGGGGGGGGGGGCAGGTATGCCATGAAGCATATAAACCCTTGGAGACTCGCTGAAAGATTGGTGGGGCTAGGGGTTCAAATGTACAGGAGAAACATCTTCAGGGCAGCCTGAAGTCTCTGACATTGCTTCCCAGTAAGGCCCATGGAATAACTAAATTTAGTCCTCAATGAGTATATGACTGGCTTAAGCCCCACCAAGGCATGCTGGGAAAGATGGACAGTGAGAGAAAGAGAGGAAGGGCCTCAAAGAGACGCATTGACATAGTAACTGTAATAATGGACTGGAGCGTATCAGATATGGTGAGGATAGGGGGCGGGATAGGGCCCCAGTTCAGATGTGTTCTATACAGGGTCCCTATGAGTTGTAATTGACTCAAAAAGCAGTCTTGACAGAAGCAGACTGCCCCTCACAACATGTAAACATCCAACTAACAACAGTCCAAGCCAACCTCAGGGAGGGGGCGAGGGTGTCCCAGCTGGCATTGGGGCCTAGGGAAGTCTGTCCCACCTTGCTCCCTCCCCATCCAGAGAGAGATTAATGAGCGCCCAAATGCTGTTAGGGGTGGCCCCATGGACCCTCCCTACAGGGCTGACCCCAGCCTGTGTTTCTCTTCCTTCCCCAGGGCCTGGCCATGTCGCCTTTCGGAAGCCTCTTCCCCTACCCCTACACTTACATGGCCGCGGCCGCCGCCGCCTCCTCGGCAGCAGCGTCCAGCTCCGTGCACCGCCACCCTTTCCTCAACCTCAACACCATGCGGCCCAGGCTGCGCTACAGCCCCTACTCCATCCCGGTGCCCGTGCCCGACAGCAGCAGCCTGCTCGCCACCGCCCTGCCCTCCATGCCGCCAGCCGCGGGCCCCCTGGACGCCAAGGCCACCACGCTGGCTGCCAGCCCGGCCTCGGTGGCCGTGGACTCGGGCTCGGAACTCAACAGCCGCTCCTCCACCCTCTCCTCCGGCTCCGTGTCCTTGTCGCCCAAGCTGTGCGGGGACAAGGAGGCGGCCAGCAGCGAGCTGCAGAGCATCCAGCGACTGGTCAGCGGCTTGGAAGCCAAGCCGGACAGGTCCCGCAGTGCGTCCCCGTAAGCCACCCTCCCACGAGAGGCTCTTCATTCCAGTCCTTTCTGCAGTGCACTTTGTTGGATGTAAAATAAATCACGGGGCGGGGGGGCTTTCGCCCTTCTTTCTTGCCAGGCGCGTCTGGGAAAAGGGGTGCCGGCTGCTGAGAGCATGACAGACAGGCCCAACCTTTCTTTTGGGGTGCTCTGTGCAATGTGTGTGCATCCTGGATGTGCCTCACACGCTAGGGACCCAGAAACGTCTTTACATCACACTGTTGAGGCGTCTTTACATCACACTGTTGAGGCTGGCAGTTAAGACACTTGTGTCCAGAGCACCAGCCAGGGAGGCAGGGCTGGGGGCGGTGGCCGAAGGGGGGCAGAAAAGGTGGCCAGAGCCCTGCAGGGGCGGGTGGGGAGGGGTGTCCAAAGGCCTCCCCTCCAAAGTGGATTTCTATTTCTCCATCGCTGTGTCAAGTGGCATCAAAAAAGTCACCTTGGGGAGAGAAAAAAAAATGGAAACGAAAATAATGGGGACAAATGATGCATTGAACGTGATTCTGTTTGTGGAGATTTAAACAAACTCACCAAGTTTCTAGTGACTTGCCTATCAGTTCTGAATAAATTGCATTGTTTGCGGAGGGAGGTGCCCTGGACCCTTGTGTAGTCTGCTAGGGCAATCTGTGTCTTTTTAATATTCTTGTGATGTTTTACAAGCCGTTCTAGCTCTCCTGCATGTTTCCATGGTAATGTAACTTTGTGGTTTTTATTTTGAATGCTTGCTTTTTAGAGAGAAAAAGAAAAACAACACGACCCCCACCCACTCCCAGCCCCTCCTTAGTTCCCTGTCTCTAGCCTCCAGCTGGCAGCCCCGGGGTGGGGAGGGGTGGCAGAGAGAAAACACAACCAAGGAATTTATTTTATGGATTTCTGTAGCCTGATTCGTGTTGTTCCTGTTCAAGCAGTTCTTTCCTGTGTATGCAATAACAAGGTTTTAAAACAAACAAAAATAATAAAGAAAGAAGCGAGACTATTAGACAAAGTATTTATGTAATTATTTGATAACTTGTAAATAGGTGGAATATGAATGCTCGGAAATGAAATTTTAATTTATTGACGTTGTACATAGCTGAGTGTAAATAGGGTTCCGAATGTCAGGCTTGTTCTTGCTTTCCTTGATCGAGTTGGTCACCAGAGCGCTTTTAAAACCAGAAAACACACTTCCTTTGCACCAGTAACACCAACACACTTTAAAAAAAAAGAGTTGCCTGCAAGCAAAAAGCGAAAAGAAGAAAAAAAAAGTTTGTTTTTAAAAAAAAATTTAAAAAAATTGTTCAATAGAGTGGAGGGAAATGCCACGGCTGGTTTTAGCCAAAATCGGGGCGAGTGTGTGTGAGTGTGTGACTTTCTACTCCTGCAGTTGTCTTGTAACCATCCAGGAGTGAGTCCAAGATGAGTGGGGAGAGGAGACTTAACACAGACGCTGTCGTCTGATTCCTCTTAATATTCACCCCTCCCTTTCATATTTGTATGTGCAAGTTTCCTCAAAAATCAAGTGGAACTTATGGCTATTGTCAATGCTGATGGATTTGGAATGAGTTCCTCCAGTGAGAGGTTCCCAGTTCAAAAAGCCAGGTGCTGAAAGATGATGGGGGGCGGGGGGAATCATGAAGGTTTATTTTGTGTTGTAATTGTTTGAGTTCCTTGGTTTTCTGTACTCCCCCCCCCACACTCTTTAAAAGACATCACTGAAATTTCAATAAATTTTTATTGAAATATCTCTGGGCCTCCTGGTAATTGCTTTCTTGAAGAAACTTGGGGAAGATGAAAAGTGGCGAATTCTGGCTCTGCCCTTCTGTCCTCACCTTCCCTTCCCGCCTCCTCCTCCCCTTCCCTTGGCCTTTAAATAATTAAGCCCCCCCCCCTCCCGTGAACTAAGAGATGTCACTCAAGTCATGCAGCTAAAAACAAAAGTCCCTTACCCCCCGCGCGAAGGGAGTTGCTTCGATTTGAAATTGCCTTTCCCTTGACTTAGGGAGTCAAAACGGGTGGGGCGGGTTAGTATTCGGGAGAGGCTCTCAGCGTTTGCCACACGAATCAGGCCAAAGCTACGTCCTAGAGGCTGCGAACAGTTTTCGTTTCAAGCGCTCCTTCCCCCTGACACTCCGAAGGCGAACAGGTCTTCTTGCACGGGAGCTCGGCGCGCGGGGAAAGGCAAGTGGGACGCGCACGCGCGTGGTCCAAAGCTGGTTGGTGGGAAAGTTGATGAGACTCTAGCCCCTCTGTGGTTCCCCTGGGACCAGGCTCGTGGCCCAAGGCGCCCCCAACCAGCTTCCATACTCGCTGGGACGCACCCTTGGCTGGATCTAGGGTGAGAGGAAGCAGCTTTTCCTTGCAAGAGAAAGGTAATTCCAGGTCGCATATTTGACCCTCTCCAAGTGAGAAGTCAGGCCTTAGGCCAACATCCTCGCCGGGGCTCGCCTCCTACCGGCCTCTAGGCAGTTTGGGGAGTTGCCTTTTGAAGTTCAATTTATCTTACAAACATTCAATAAAAAATGGTAAAGGCGGCAAGGCCCTTTTGGTCTTTACCTCCCTCACCGCCAGCTTTGCCTCAGAGGCTTGTGTTTGAGAGGTGGGGGTGAGGTTCCAGAGGGTTAGTCCTTGTCTTTTTCTTGCCCTGGGGCCGGTGCGGTGAGGACCCAGCCGGAGCCTGCTTGGTGCTGTCTCCCCTCCCCCTCACTTAGCCCCGCCAGCCTGGCCCCGCGTCCCTGTCACCTATGAGCCGCACGAACGGCTGGCAAAGAGGACTCCCTCCCGTGCTGTGCTTGGAAGGGGATCAGAGAGAAGGGCAATCTTTGGAGAGCAGGGCAGAAGCCCTTTCATATTTTGGTCAAGCACATGGGGACCCCCACAGCGTCCCCTGGGATAGGTGGGGAGACAGCAAGGAGGAATGTTGCCAGAGGGCCAGAGCCAAGGCCTTGGGCACCTTTGACGAGACAGCGCGCGCGCCCCACGCGCAAAAGCGCCTTGGAACGGGGCGGGTTCTCGGTCCCGCGTTTGCGCGCGCTACCAGCGCCCTCTGAGAAGATGCAGCCCCAGGTGTATGTGTTTGGGGAGTGGGGGTCAGACGGCCTCAAAGAAGGAGGAAGCGCTCCGCTTGAGTCGGTCCAGAGTCGCTCAGTTCTCTCCCTCCCAACCCCCCAGTTCGGGACGGCGCGGAGACGCGTGTCCGGCTTCTTGGACTGGCCGGCCTTTTCTTCTTTCCGTAATCTCCCAGGGATCTTATTTGTATATAGTGATGTTAATGAGTAACCCTTGTGGCGCTGAGGGACGGGGTGAACCGCCCGCAATCTCTCTGGATTTCGTAGTCTATTACTCACCTGGCGCCTCTCGCAATCTCGCCGCGGGCTTTATGGTGGCGGCGGACGCCGCGGAGGCCACTCGGCCCGGCGCCTTCGCCTTTTTTTTTTTCTTTCTCCTTCCCCGGGCTTCGAGTGCCACCTATCTGTCTGGCCGCGAATGCGCCCTGGTCGTCGTCGCCTGGTCAGCACCCCAGCGTCTGCGGCTGTCGGGGAGCTACGCTTTGGTCTCCTGCTCACCCCCATCGCCCCCAACACCCACCCCAGTCCGCGCTCTCCCCCCACCTCAGCCCCCGCCTCGGAAGAAGCAACCTCATCTCTTTCCTGGGGATCACTTTCACTCCTGGTTGGGCCTTAGATGAGAAAAACAGTTCTCCCAGGTCGTGCGTTTCCAAGGAACACTTGGAAATTCCGGGAGGGGCTTCGCTCCTCTCCAAACGCCCCGCTGTTGTGTCCAGAAGCCACTGCAGCCCCAGCGCCCCCTCCCTCCCTCCCTCGCCTGCACCTGAATTCCCGACGGATCCATAACAGGGACCGGTTCTCTTCCCCAAGTGCACACCTCCGTGTCATCCTGCCTGAGACACCCCCCTTTCCCTGCAGGCCCCCTCTCTTACTTCAGAGCTTGGAGGGTTTTCTTTTGCTTTTTAATCCGGCCGCTTCTACAGGGACAAAGGCCGCGGCTGACACGCACAGCAACCCATGAGGGCCCCCGGCTGGGGTCAGCTCCGTAGGCCTGCCAGACCTAGCGAGTTGGTGATATGTAGATTTAAGGTGACAAATTCGGGGGCTGGCCGAGTCCTCCCGCCCCCGCCCCCGCAGAGGGGTCGCCTCCCGTCCCAGTTGGGCCCTGGCGTCTGCGCCTGGCGCGGCCGGAGGGTGGGCTCGCCTTTTGCTGGCCTCGGAGCCGCGGGTGGAGGCGTCGGGGTTCTTGCAGACCTTCCCCGCGCTAATTGCAGGGGCCGAAGGGCGCGTTCGGGCAGAGCCAGGGGTCGCGACCCTGCGCCCCCGGCTCCTGGGGCCAGGCAGCCGGCTGGGGGGAGCTGAGTGCGTGCAAGAGCGTGCTTCTGTGCGCGCGCGCGCGTGTGCGCGGGGGGATCGGCCGTCCCGGGCCCACCCCATCCTTGGGGGGGAGAAATCCAGGCATGTGGGCCCTTGAAGAAAATTCCATGGCGGAAGGCAAACCCGGGTTCTGACCTTTCCTCCCAGCGAGCAGACAGACAGCCGCCTTCCGAGGCTTCAAGAGACTTGAAACGCTTAGCGGGCCCTGGACTTTTCTGCCTCGCTGGTTTCCAAAGGTGACCCCAGACGACCAGCCAAAGACAGAGGCCCTGGAAACGGAGCCGCTCCACTTGGGCCCTTAAGCACATAGTCATTTACGGTAGTTCTTAAGGAGCATGTTGTTGTGTGCCGTCGAGTCGAAACCGACCCATAGTTGGGTTGGTCCTCTGGTGAATTTCTGTGGCATTGAGTCGCACCGAGGGAGATAGCCTAT